GCTTGTCGAAGTCATTTGAAAACACAACGACGCCGTCAAGGTAGACGAGACAGCTCTGCCACTTCAATCCTGCCAGTACGGTTACCATCACACGCTGGAACGTTGCCGGCGCCGTGCATCGTCCGAATGGCATCACCTTGAGTTCGTGCAGTCCATCCGGAGTGACAAAAGCTGTCTACTGCCTGTCCCGTTCGTCGACTTCGATCTGCCAGTAACAGCACTTCAGATCCATCGATGAAAACTATCGAGAGTGGCGCAGCCGGTTTCGCGTGTCATCGATGCGGGGGTATGGATAGACGTCTTTCTTCGTTACCGCGTTCAGCTGTCGGTAGTCTACGCAGAACCTAAGCGTTCCGTCCTTGTTTTTTTAACAAGCACGACTGGAGAGGCCAACGAACTGCTTAAAGGCTGAATAATGTGGTCGTTGAGCACTTTCTGCACTTGCTCTTGAATGACCTCCTTTTCTTCTACGGAGACTCTGTACGGCGAGCAGTGCACAGTGAGCGCGTCGTCCTCGGTAGCGATGTTATGCTTCGCAACGGCGGGGCGGTTTGGCGCACCTACAACGACGTCGAAAAGCAGTCGCTGTTTTCTGCGAGGAGGTCAATCAGCTGCCGTCGTTTCAGCCCTGGAAGCTTGCGGTCAATGTCGGGTTTTTGCACATATTAAGGAGCAGAAAGAATAAGCAGTACTTATTTATTCTAAACTGCACTAAATTGCGTGGGTTTCACTTCATTTTGATCGTCTGCATGCTCACGGACGTAGTGATCAAGTGTTACTCCGTAGTTTTTAGCCGTCTCTCTTGGTTTTCCACATGTCCTTCGTTCGTTTGGCACGTATATTCCCATGCTACAAAGCGCCGATGCCGTGTTCCCGCTAACGGTGTCCGGCAGTGCAAATAAATACACCTAAGAAGCAGTTTTAGCACCGGTTTGGTTGCCACGAGTTAAAGAAGAAACGCCGTAACTAACCAATTAATGTGATTGCGTGACTAAGAAATGTTCCTGTCTACCTACAAATACGCAAGAATTATTCGTAATATTTGCTCTTATAGCTAAGCGCTGGGAAAAAAGGCCCCCACTTTTTCACATCGAAATGCATTGCCATAACTCAATTTCTGACGGGTTGCTCTCCGCTTCAATTTTCAGCAGCACACTGGCGCCAGTTGAACTTCTAGTGTACACCATAATAAGTCTATGGTCACTATCGTTGTCAGTGCGGGAAAATATCCATAGCAAGCTTAAAACAGCACGTGTTGCCCACACGACCGACACGCGCTTCGCAGCTGAAAGATCCTTCCGTGACGGGACGACCGGTTGGAAGAATTTTCGTTCTTTCTCCCTTTTAGTTACATCTTCAGGGAAAATCAACGTGATAATCAAATGCAGAGTGTGAAAATACTCTAAAATTCACCTCTAACTCGCATTTTTCATGAACCTCTTCAGCTTCTCTTTAAAGGGGCACTGCAATTGGACAACAAAAACAAAATGCTGCTTCGAAGGGCGTGCCTATCATTGTCAAACGCAAGCGTTCACTGACAACACAGTTCTAGAACGTCGGATAATTATACTTTGTTTCAGCTTCGTTCCGAGCGCGGCCGATGTTATGAGCCGAAGGGCCAATCTAACGGCGAAAAAGGCGCACCGTCACGGCGTGCTCTTCGCAGTTGATAGGATCAGAGGTGTTCGTCGTCTTTCAGTGCACGCTGCTCCTCCGCCGGCTCGTCCTATCAAGAGCGGAGAACGCCATAACGTTGCTCTTTTTGCGCTCTTTGAATGGACCTTCGGCTCATAACAGCGGCCACGCTCGGACCAAAGCTGGAACCAAATATAGGAAGCAAGGAGTCACGGCTGCTCAACTGAGCCATAAGCTCAGCGGGTCATAAAGCAAGATGCGCTGACACGGCGAAATGCGGCGCAATGCCGGAGGCGGTATCTCCAGTTTCGAAATGTGTAGCCGGCGCTCATCAGCCGCAAGCGCTATCTCCGAGGCGGTACCACGCGCCCGATTCGCAGTCAGGCGCCGCGCCGCAGAAAAGCGGAAAAACACACATGCTCGCACTCACAGTAGGACGCGCATGCGCTTTTGTGTGGTCTCGAAACCAGGCGACCCGCCGGCAGATAGAATTGCAAGCAGTTTCACTCGCAGCTCGCGCGTCCTGGGGACTTTTGTCCCCGACTGTACGTTCACCTGATGCTTGTACTATCCGTAATGTGTGTATAGTATAAAGGATCCCCAAGGCGCAGCAGTGGCCTGAGAAAATCATGTTATTTTTTGTAGAGCATGAATTGGGCGGTGCCTAGCGCCACCTAGCCTAGCTACTTGCAATTACTCTGCTTGACCCCGCCATCTGGTGGCTAGCGATTTAACCTTCTTTCACGCTACGCGATAGACAGAGGCTTCAAGTTTGTTCATTCGAGTGCGGCTTTTTGTTCCGCGGATTGAGTTTGCCCTTCTCCATGATGCCTAATAAGGCGGTTGACGAAGGAATTGTGACTCGAGGAACACCAAAGGTAAGACGCAAAGTGCGCGAAGTAACTGGGTATCGGTTGTCTCCGTTTAACATCGCAGTGCTGACGACGAGAAGACTGCATGGTCTCGAAACGGCAAGTGTCTGTATCTGTGGGGGGAATCTGGCTTCGGAAATAAACACATTTCGTGGAAAGCTCGTGTTACGCTTTTATTTGCTGTTCCTCGCGTTTTGTACAATAGACGTAGCGTCCTCGTCAAGCCTTATTGGGCTCGATTTGCTCGATTCGGGGCCTCCATATTGATATCCAAGCGACGGAGGAACTTCGCTTCCCTGCTTCAGGGACGAAAGTTTCTCCCTTTCTAAAGGATCATAGGTTACAAGACCGTTCCTCCCCTAAGGGAGGACTATCCATACCCTTTTTTCTAAGAGTGTACAGCATAATGTTCTTGCAGCGTTCCTGGCTGTCAAACATTTCAGGTATATCCTTGAGGGTCACGAGTTTCATATCCTGACGGACCATAAGCCTCTAACGTATGCGTTCCATGGCAACCACACCGCCTACTGCTCCCGAGAGATACGACAACTTGCTTTCATTTCCGAGTTCACGGTTGATCTCCGCCACGTAAAAGGCAAAGGCAACTCAGCGGCGGACGCGCTCTCCCATGTCGACGCTGTCTGGGCAAGTCGTGGAGCTGTCGATTTTGAGAGCATTGCTGTCGCACGACGAGATGATCCGGAGTTGCATGCTCATCCTGACATGCTGAAGTCCTTGGTACTCAGGGAAGTTCCTCTCCCTCATTCTAACGGGACCATCCTCTGCGACATCTCTACCAGCAGTCCTCGACCTCTTGTTCCGCTAGCTCTTCGTCGGAACGTTTTCGACCACCTCCACAACATCAGTCACCCAGGCATCCGAGCCACACAGCGCCTGATAAGAGCTCGCTACATCTGGCCTACCATCAACGCGGATGTACGTCGCTGGGCACGAACATGTCTGCAATGTCAGCACTCTAAGGTGAGCCGGCACACGGTGACTCCATTGGTACCGTTCCGCTCTCCTTCTGCACTGTTCGACCATGTGCATCTTGACATTGTGGGTCCACTGCTTCCATGCCGGGGATTTACTTACATCTTAACTTGCGTTGACCCCTATACCAGGTTGCCCGAAGCTATTCCCCTACCCGACATCACTGCCGAGACGGTCGCCAGGACGTTTGTGGAGGTTTGGATCGCCCGCATTGGCTGTCCATCCACCGTCACTACGGACCGGGGACGGCAGTTCCAGTGCTCGCTTTTTGCCGCTCTAGCCCAGCTCCTAGGAGTTCACCATGTGCATACTACCGCCTACCACCCCTCGGCAAACGGCATGGTAAAAAGACTGCACCGACAAGTCAAGGCAGCAATTACGGCACGAGACGGGCGACTCAACTGGGTCGATCACCTACCATTCGTCCTCCTCGGCGTTCGATCCGCGCTCAAACTAGACCTCGGATGCACCGCAGCGGAACTCGTCTATGGCTCGACACTTAGACTTCCTGGTGAATGTTTCAACAGCAACACAAATTCCCAAATTGTTCCATCCCAAACGTACTTGGACAACCTGCGAGAGCTCATCGGAGAGCTTCAACCGACACTACCTCGATATCCTGATTCTCAGAAAGTTTTCGTCAGCCAGGAGATCCAAACATGCCCACATGTTTTCATCCGCAAAGAAGGCAGCAAGAAAAGACTGACTCCGCCCTATGATGGACCTTTCAAGGTGCTCAAACGCACCGAGAAAACCATGACTCTAGACGTCAACGGACATACAGAAACCATAGCGATGGACAGACTCAAGCCTGCATTTCAAGAATTTAAGGACCAGTCTCCATCCTCAGAACACCTACTGTCTCTGCGAGCGAACAAGACCCCTCCCACAAGAAAGCGTGTCTCATGGGCCACATAACTCCATATAGCTTTTCTTGTACTTTAATGTCGGAACCGAATCTACTCATTATTTTTCTTCCTTTTTTGTTTTTGCCAGCATGGGATCTATTAGTTTTTCTTCTCCTACGATCCACGCTACCAATGGGGGAGCCCTGTAGGAGCCCGCAACAATGGCCGCAGCACGAAGCTCGGGTCACGAGCTCCATGACGCGGGTCACGCGCAAATTTAAAACGTGCGGGCAGTCGGAGCCCGAGCACCAATCGATTCGGTCGTGTTCTTTTCCCCATACATGGTATATGCGTGCTGTAGTGACCACACGAAAGGGAATGTCTCAGAACCCGCCAACACGAAGTAGGGTGCTACTACACTATTTTAAAAAGAAACACGGACAAACAAAACTTCTGTTCCAAATCGCATGTTCTCCTTGCTTTATTTCCGCTGACCACTTTTGGTTTGCCTTTTTTTATTTTTGTGCTTACAATCCTATGTTCTCCGCGGTGCTCCCTAACTCCCCCGGAAAAAGAAATAAGAAGCGAAATAGGTCATTCGTTGCGCAATGTACCTCTTAAGATCTGTCAACGCACACTCTGAGATCCGTAAGGGCTTGCTCAAGAGCATCCTTGAACTTGGTGATGTTCTTCTCGGGGCAAGATTTGTTGCAGCTCAGGCCGAAAGTGACAGATTCTGGTCGGATGTTGTACATGACCATGTAGGTATCAGGAAAACCAGGATCCTCCAAACTAGTACCGTCGCATTGAAGATTCACCTTGGCGAAAAGTGGAAACAACCGTCAGGCTTGTAGGGTCACGTGTTCTCAAAAACTGCCAGTTCACGATCTACCAAACTAATTCCCGAATGCATAACCGTAAAAGCTTGTAAAGTTGACAAGCACATTTCGTCACTCTGGCGTGCTTTCAAGTACATACCTCACACCACCTGAATTTACGGGGGGAGGGGGGGGGGGGGGGAGGAGGCGAGCGGGCACAAGGATATCCCAGATTTGCTTACCCGACATGCGTAAGCAAATCTGTGGGTCGGATAAAGCCTAGCTTGGGTGAATTACTGAGGCGTGTTTACCGAAGCATCGTCCTTACCGACGCCCTCGAGCTCCTCGCGTTTTTCGCGGTTACAGAGGCCGCCGGCTACGCTCCAAGGGACAGTTAATTCTTTCGCATTAAAACCAAAAGAAGGGTGTTTATAACAAGAAACGATATGGAGTTAACAGTCTTTTGAAAAGGAGCAAGTATAATTGTCAATTAAGACAAGTAACACAAGGCAATACGTACATTTTTCCAACCGCTAATCAAAATTTATATTTATGCGCGGTTTGCTAGCGAGCCACTGTCCCTGATGCCCGTTAGGCGTATGCGGTTTGAAATTCTCCGAAGAAAAAAAAAAAGAAAAGAAAAAAAAATAGGGTTACAGTACCCTGTCAAAAAGTAATCCAGCTGTATGTTCTTAGTGAAGTACAAGATTGCCAAGACTGAGTTATTTTATCTATTCCAGAATATTTTTTTTCGGGGACACAGGAGGGGAAGGGGACACGCTCACTAGAGAACTGCGAGCCGCCCTTAAACCGGCGCAGTGCCGCGTGCGGCTTGCGACCCGCAGTTTGGGCACCACTGTCTAGCATATGATAAATCTAAACGTGTTGTAAGGCAAGGTCGAAAAACGGAGAAGCCCTTTGAACGTAGTCACAAAATGATATCTTCGGAGCTATTTCTTTTTCTTTTTTTTTGCTGAACCGATAATTTCTGGACAAATGCGGCATATAATTTCTCCGTCATAAAATGAGGACGACATTTATTTATTTTATAATCGCTAAATATATTTCTGATAATTCACTGTGAAAAAACAGCCGATAAAAGCATTATATTTCACAAGATTTTCAATGTTTTTTTTTTATTCTGCAAAGACTGGACAGGCGTTTTAGGTGTAATGTATGACGTAATCGAAATATTTGTCTTGTTTATTAAATTCACGTTTTTTTGTTCGTTTTGTGACTGCGGTCACCGGCAGTGCAGTTCCGGCTACTCCATTGCAGTTAATTAAATATAGACGCGTACAAATAAAGAAATGTACATAAATGATACAATAGCAAGTAGCGTTCGGCCTAACTTGTGTGTAGGTTTTTTTAAAGAGAAAAACATTCACTTTTGAGTGAGTTGCACGTTGTCAGGGTACGCGCTTGTACAAACTCTGTTCTGTGCATCCCTAGCAATTTGTGGCGTACGCACTACGATTATTCTTGCCCAGCTTTGGATGCCTGGTGAGATTAAAATGAGATGCGCGGAGTGAACAAAATGGCGCAGATATCTAAGTTACCCTTTGACGAAAGCACACTACACAAATAGTGCTCATAATGCCGAAGTCAAACTATTGGAACATTCTACATAAGACAGTCTGTATTGTATTATAAGGGCCATTTCACATCAATTACACAAACACTTCGGCAGACGTGTTCGAAGAATGCCCATGTGTGAAAAAAACATTCTTCGGAAGTGCTTCTCCGCGAAATTAAGTAAGGAAATTGACTTCACGTACCCTAGTCACCAAATAAATTTCCCCGCAAATTTTAGGGGGTAAATGTATTGATCCAGTTTTCCGGCTAAAGATTATTGGGGAAATTGACGGCCTGATAGCTAAGCCCCATTTCCGTTTCCCCTTTACATTTACCTGGAACGCTGCTGGCACGTGAACTATACTCCAATTCAGTGACCGGCTATATTGAACAGGGAAATTGGTATCATGTTACATCTGTACAAATTAATTTTTTTTCTGTTAAATTGTAGCAGGACTTAGAGAAATCTGATGCACCCGGCGCGCGTCACACTATTGTTCACAGTCCTACTGACATGTCGGGATATCTTTTCCGGTGTGTCACACTGGATAATTAACTCGAATTATTTATCAAACATTATTAAATATTAATTTGTGCGCAAGCACTGTGGTACAAAAGTGGGAGACCGTGTTGAGAGAGATCACATCGTGCCGTTTCATAAAGGGTATTCACACGGGGGAGAAATCCCTCCCTTTGTTCCCCGGGATGCGCATTACGTGAGAATTAAACGTGAAGCTTTTGCGCTTTGACACTCAAGTAGATATCCAAGAAAGGTGGGGAGCATTTTGCTCCAGCTGCACAAACGCACTCCGCCTTGGCGTGGCATCTATTCGCAAGTGGCGGTGTTTTGTTCGCGTGTCTGGGAACTTTGCAGATGTAGCGCAGTGAGATGCCGGCGGTGTCATTGTGATTCACTAACTTGTTGTGGCTTGCGCTCTTGCGCCCCAAGGAGTCTTCGATACCCACCCAATTCCGACCTCAAACCCCACCTCATACAACTTGCTTTTCATCCCACGTCCACTGTGTTGCATCCACCGATTCAAGAGGCACCTTTCTTTTAGCAGGGAGTATTTCGTCGTCTCCTTCATCTAAGAGCGCTGCTGCCGCTATCGCGTACCGCCTCCGTCTTTTTTCGTTATTTTTTTTTTTACTTTAGACAGCACTCACCGAGTCCTGTTTGCGAGATTGCGACCCCTAAATGCGTCTGATAACACTGATATCCCCCTGGGCTCCCCGCCGGTAGTGTAAATGCTGGAGACAAAGAGGGAGTCTCGCCCGTTTAGTCGATCACTGACGTCAGGCATATCCCGTCCCCGAAACGCATATCATGTATAAATTCCCACATTAGGTAACTTTTCCGTGTATTCTTTTTTTAAGCTTTCAAAAAGCTAAAACATTTCCAGAGCGATATGAAGAAAACAAAATCGCAGGCCACTACCCGCCAGCGTACTGCAATAATAACGCCTGTAGTCAGCTGGCTCTTTTTTTATGTTGAGCCATTTTTTTAACCCATTCGCGACCAAAGCCGGCGAATCACCGGGCGTACTGTATAGGATCATATTGCCAAAGCCGGCGATTCGCCGGTCTCCATGAACTTCTGTTTTGAAGAGCCATTCATGGATGGCGCGCTATGCAGACTTGAGGTAGTGTAGTTAGATACATTGCCAAGAGATTGCAAGGGTCGTTCGGTTCGCTGTGTTTGAGCTTGTTATTTTGAGTGTCCTCTTTCCCGCTCGATCGCTGCCTGCTTGGAGACGATGGCAGTGCACAGTGTTAGGTGTGGCCTTTTCGACGATGCATTTTTGAATGTCCTCTTCGGCAACGATGATGACGAGACTTCTGGTGAGGATCGTGAGTTTTCGGAGCCTCCTCTCGACGACGGAAGTGTCTCCGACAGCAGTTCTGAGTTCGAATCACTAAAAGTGTGCGCTGGTTGCGCGATGTCTGAGCGACCGACGATGAAATACTTCAAGATCTTTCGTGCGAGGAAGAATCCATGAGGGACTAGTGATATATAGACTTCAACGAATCACTTAATCATCTGAATAAACATGTTTCCTTGTTTTCTCCACTGAGTTGTACAGTAAAAGCTTGATATACCAGCAAAATGGTCACGCCTAGTGTGGCTCTGTTTTAGGTGGAAAACATGCCGTACAGACAGCCCGGCTGCGTGCGACGCGCGCTCTATAAAAAGGGGGTTTAAAGATTTAAACCTCGATATAACTAGACACACACAAAGTTATTTCTATGGGAACGACCTAACGACATGTCTCGCAGCACTCTCTACAACGATTTTATAGAAGAGTCTGCGCACACATTATTATTGAAAATTTTTCGTAATTAGTCTGCGTTAATATGCGGATTCGGCACATCACAAAATATATCTTAACTTGCTCAATACACTGTTAGAAAATTCTATCAATCTACGTGGAAAAATCGAATAGAACATGTCCCGTTTTCTGGAAATGCATACAATGTGCTGTTTGCTTTCAAAAACGGGAATTGTACCATATGCATTGAAATGTGCTATTTAGGCAATAAGTATGAGCTTATCCGTATAAATAGAAAAGCTTTACAAGACTACAGTTTATAGTCGGTTCAACTGGTATAAGCGAATTGAACGCGCCCAAAAGTGCCGGATATTCAGCAATTTTTATGGAACTCTATCAGACCGCGGAAGTACAGTGCCCGTGAGCCGTGTTACGCCGCGCGCAGGAAGACATCTCTCACCCGAAAATGCGCAAACCGCTGCCGGCCGGCGTGGGCCCGTGAGCTGCGGAGTGCTGCTGCCCGTTCGGAAGGCGAGTTCGACGTTGTTATCGCGTCGTCAGAGGCGTTCAGCGGTGCGTAGACGGCTTTGTTTTCCAAGGTACGTATACGTTTAAGTTGTTCCTAACGCAGTGTTATTTTACTATCTCTAAGGGTGTCGTATATTCCAAGTTCGGGATGCCCAGCGTGTAGCGTCTCGTCTTCCCAGCTGCATAAAGCTAGGCCTTTTATAGTTCCTGATTTGGGGCGGCATACTGCCCGACCCTACTTAGTATTGATGGTATGCTGCGCTGCGTAGTTACGCGGAAAAAAACTGGAGAAGTGAAGTTAATGCAGAAGGACAGACAAAAACATGCGTGAATTGGCGCAGACTAACAACTGTTTAATTTCTTTCTCTTCTTTTTCCCCCGACCCGTATTTCCAAAATTGCGGCTAAGAAAACGAATGGTTGATGTCTTGAATTTGTTGGCTTCTGAACTTGATGGTGTTTGCTGTAGCTGCCTCTTTGATATGCGAACTGGATGGTGTGTTTTTTGTAGCATTTACCTGGGGCCTGATGTTGGCTCCGACAAGTTTGGTATCTTATTGAGTAGATCTATTTCTTCTTGTCGCAAAGCTAGTGATGGCTCACTGACGCACGCTCCGTGTCTACCCGA